TGCCACTTATGCTGGCTTTCTACATATTTTAGGTACAGGTCTCGCGGGTTTTAGCGGTAAGTTTTGCACCTAGAAAATTTAGTGTACTTCAGGCTATATCTTCGTCGTCTTAAGCTTTTAAGTGTTGAAGATGCGATCGACTTGTTGGGTAACAAGCCGGCCATGATCGTGTAAAATGGCTTCATCGTAGATCGATTAGTTTCTGAGATATAACCGGAAATGTAAAAGTGCAAAACCTACCGCTTAATCTCGCGAGACCTGTACATGTAGGTAAAGAAGTAGAAGAGTTTATCAAACAAGGCATTTGAGGAGTTATGGGATAAATCACACGGGAAAAGTATGAATTATTCCAAATGTTTAACATAAACACAGTTTTCTTCCGAAATCCAATGCTTTGTCTCGCGAGTGATTTTGTTATTCATGACTAAATGATACACAACTTACACTTCACGGTAAAAAGCTATTACCGATATGCTATATTGTTGTTAAGTTTTAGCTGATTCGGACTGTTGTAACCAAATAGTAAGTCAACAAGATATCTTGGCTCGCTACGCGTCGCGTTGGCCATAAAATAATTAAGGAGAAAATTTGGGACCGATTGGTGTTCGTCCCGTGATGATCGGACGTCTAGAAGCTTCGATATTCGCGAAAAACTTGCTGAATTTGCAAAAGTACTTGGTACTTGCTTGGTACTTGCAAAAGTACTCGGTACTTGCCGAGATAGGCGAATTATTTCAATCGGCGCCGATCAGAATCCTTAGAACGGAGGTACCCACGCTCATTTCTGGCCGTATTTCACTTTTCTGAGATGTACGTCAAACTACGTATTTAAAGGGACCCTCCCACCTTAACATTAGATTTGAGTTGAGATAGCCAAAATGGGGTCCCTGGCTAACAATTACCGGTTTCGGCACTCACAACATCGAGAAATGCCTTAAATCGGAAATATTGAATTTCAAAATTGCAGCATTTTGATTCAGAGGGGCTAATGCTTAGGAATACCCCTCTGAATGTGTGACGTCAGCGCAGATATCTAACGCTTTTTAAATGTTTGACTTAAACGTTTTGTAGCACGCGGTGGTATATGCTATTTGCGCGCAACATCTGCCGCAAACGCCGCACTTCTAAAATAAAGTCGCTAGAAACAGCGGAGATCCCAAAAAAGTAAACAAAAGTAAAAGTCTAATATCTTGAAAACCGGTGAATATTTTTCGGTGAAATTTGGTAGATATTCGTTTTCGCTCTTTCTGAACCGAGCGACATCATTTTCATGCCAATTCATAAACTTTTTTGAAAGTGGGAGGGTCCCTTTAAGAGATATGTGGTTTAGTGGCGTTTAGTGGTGTCAATCGGAACTTGAATCTTCGGAATTCCGATTTTGTCCAATGTCCAATTCGGAATTCGGTTGGACAGTGGCAGCAGGATTTGGACAACTTTGGACAATCGCTTGTTACACCTCAACATTAAAAAAAAAAAATCGTGTTTAACATTGATTGGCTATTAGAAAGCTCAGCTCTCCATATGATTAGCACTTTTGAGCTGGTAACGGTACATGAAAAGCAAATTAAATAACAGTGTTGAGTGTTAAAGGGACACTCCCACCTTAACATTAGTTTTGAGTTGAGATAGCCAAATTGGTGGCCATGGCCTGCAAATACCGGTTTGGGCACTCACAACATCGAAAAATGCTTTAATTCGAAGATATGGAATTTCAAACTTGCAGTTTTCGGATTCTAAGGGGCTAATGCATTGGAATGCCCCTTTAGAATTTGTGACGTCAGCGGAGATCTAACGATTTTTAAATCTTAGACTAAAACCATCGTTAACACGTGGTGGTATACGCTGCTTTGCGCGCAACGTCTGCCGCACTTTAAGGCTGCCAAATTATTGCTTCCAAATAAAGTCGCTAGTAACAGGGGAGATCCCAAAAAGTAAACAAAAGTAAAAGCCTAATATCTTGAAAACCAGTGAATATTTTTCGGTGAAATTTGGTAGATATTCGTTTTCGCTCTTTCTGAACCAAGGGACATCACTTTCATGCCAATTCATTAACTTTTTTGAAGGTGGGAGGGTCCCTTTAACTATTGCGTAGGTGTCGGACATCTTTGGACAAATGGCTGGCTTAGACATTTTTGGACGGACAGTCGACGTAAGCATTGGACATTGGACGGACTTTGGACAAAGGTTTTCTGAAATTGACACCACTAATGTGGTTCCGCGGCTATTTCGCAGGCCCTAAGAGAAAAAGGTCGCTGCAAAAACTGACGGCTTAAAAAAACCGCAAACCGACGCAAATAGAATAGTTATACGATAGGGATGAGACATCGGATTAATGCAAACATTGACTGCAGTGCTTGGCGCGCCGCCGCGACTGTGCCTTTCCAGTGCAGTGGGACCAGCCAGTGGCCACCAAGCCACTCAATGGCTGTAGCTTGTTTTGTTTTGTTTTGATGGGTTAGGCGGGGCCCTTTCGTCATGATGAGACCATTTCAGAGCCGAAAGGATGATAGAAATTAGGGGGAGACATTGGTCTGGGCGGGCACCCTGGTGAGTCGCCGGAGCTGAGCCCATCCAATATGGACAGGCCACCCAGCCCCCAAAACACTCACTGCACCCGGCTACGGGTGTGCTCCTATAAGAGCTTCCCGCATGGGATAAGTTGCACATCCAGCCCGGATCAGAGTAGTGAGGTGTGGAAGGAAGATATTTGACTATCATGAGGATTGAAAGGACGGAACGGTGAAAGGTTACCTCTGCCCAGATGGCCAGATGTGTAGGTATCCGATCCGTAGTGGTCGATCCTCTCCAGGTAGCAGCGGGGCAGGTCGCCTACCCAAAACAGGGCTGAAGTGAGTAATCGATAACGCTCGTCATAGTGAGCTTCTGTGAGCATGACAGGGTGTGTTTTGACAACTGACACGAGCTCGTCGGAGCAATGATGACTAGCACAGGCGGTGTTGAGTGGGGCTGAGTGCTCACGAAGCTGGCATGTGGCTCGTCCTACAGAGGTCGCCAGGTATCACGGCGCTCCGGGCGAGCCCTGCGACCGGGGGTGGAGGAGGTAAGAGTCGCGGGTGGTACGACATAGGTGGCGCCACGTCCGCCGCACAGCTGTCTGTCTGTCTGTCGGTCTGTCTGTCTGTCTGCCTTTGTCTGTCTCTGTCAGTCTCTGTCAGTCTCTGTATGACTTTATTTGTCTCTGTCCGTCTCTGTCTGTCTCTGTCTATGCATGTATCTGTCTCTGTCTGTCTTCGTCTCAGTCTCTGCCTCAGCCACCACCGGTGGCAGTCAGTTGAGGTGTGCACTGTGCACTGTGCAGGCCCAGGGGCTCCGCCACGGTTTTGTGATTGGGGGTCCAACCCAAAACACAAAACCTCGCTCGTGGTTCCAGGGTGGGCATTTTGGGCGAGTTCACCCCCCCCCCCTCCCGCAGCGCCAGAAATCGATAATAAATTTCCGTTTTTTTTCTAGAGTTCAAAGAAAACTTAACAATGTTATCGGGAAAATTTTGCTTCAAACCGAAAAACCAAGGCCCAATTTGCACAAGGAATCGAACACCGAGAAGCGGTGACATTGACATGATGGCCTCTCCAATCAACGTTCTTGAGGAATGGAGGCTGCTGTTGCGCGCTCCAAGGGCGGTGTTAGCCATCAGACAGCGCATTAGGCTCTCAGTGACCATGGCATGGGCTTGGGAATTCAGGGACCTTCAAAGGCGCTCAGATATATAGGTACCGGGTGGCCCAAAAAAACGTTCCGAACTTTGGAGGCCTTTATCTCAAATTCCAGTGCAAATAACGAGTCAAAATTTTCAACAAGTTTGCGTCACTTCTTTGCGCATTGGCATGCCAAATTATAACACTGTACCATCATTTTCAGTCCAGCAATCTTATGTTGAATTAAGTAAGACGTTTTTGCTTTTTTTGCCGATGTTGAACGGTAGTGATGATTGGCTTAGCCGTACCATGTTAGAAAAAAGGAAAATAGAGCACGTGAATGAAACCAGCACGTGTGTTGTTATTTTAAATATTTTTATCCTACTTATGTGCCAAATATTCAAATAATGAGCCAAAATGGTGTTAATGGATGCCATTCGTTTCAACGCTAAGTCCTGTTTCGAGCAGGACTGGCACGGTGCATGGGTTACTGCTGATCGCCCTCCCTTCAAGAAGATCAAACAGTAAATCGACCGAATAAGGAAAAAAGCTCAAGGGAATGTGTCACCCTGAGGCCTGAACCAATGAGACTAGTTGCCAGTAGCAGTCATGGCTGCAGGCCATGGTGCCAAGATGAAGTGGCCCGTTCACTCACATTTTTTTAGTAAACATCTGAGCAAAAAAAGTAATTTTTACATGGCATGCTAGAAACACGAACCGTTTAAAAAGTAATTGACCGAATAACATAAAAATCATGCTATTTACTGAAAATATATGCCGCATTGAATATTGGAAGTTTCAGTGTTGCATCTTTATAACTTTCTGAGAAATATTGATTCAAAGTTGGGAACGTTTTTTTCTGGGCCACCCGGTATATGTAGGCTCTTAGACCGGTGTCGGGTCCTCCAAGGAAGTAGTTAAAGGAAAGCGCAGGGATTTAGGAGTCGTTGTAGGGATTTGAAAAAAAGAACACTGCCGGCACGCTCATGCGAACATTTGTAATGTTCTCGAAAAAAGCACTCATGCGGCGTCTCATGATAAGATTGAGATACCGAAAGTTGACGAATTGTCAACTTGACAGTTCGTGTCAAGTGCTAAAAGAACAGAACAGTAGTGTCGAGTGGATACGAGAGCAGTAACGCATAGTTTCCTGCAATAAACTTGTATCGGTCGCTCCTGTGGAATTAACAGATAATTTCTGACGTGGCCAGTCATGGATGGCTGCTCTGCGAACATGATATCAGTTGTTCCGTGCGTAGCTTTCCCAGATATCGTGCATATAAATCTCTGTTATCGCGAATAGGAGACGTGAGACCAACCACCGCGGAACCAACAGCAGGGCCAGTAGTGTTTGGCGGGCCGTTGAAGACAGAGCTCGGAACGAAAACCTCCGTTCTGCTCCTCTCGTACAGAAGCTCCCAGCGCCGACCAGACCCAGTCCTACCCCGCCGACGAACTTGGCACGGCATTCCCGAACCGAGTATTCGTCTCACCTTGAACCTGCAGCGGTACAGGACCACACCCGAGTCCACTGTGTGTCCCGCTCACACCTCAGGTCATGGCGTCTAACTGGGACCGGCCGTCGTGTCGGTCGTTCCTCGGCCCGGTCTGGTTGCTGCTGCTGCTGCTGGTGCTGGTGTTTGTGGTGACAACAGTTCACGGTGGAGAATACTGCGAGGACTTTGAGGGCGGTGATCTGGGCGACTTCTGGAGACAGAGCCCACTGGACTTGGGTGCAACCTGGGAGCCTTCGAGTTACCAGGAGCTGAAGGAGAGCATTCCCGACTTTCCCGAGCCTGCGAGCGGGGACACTATCGTTTATCTAACTCCTAAATCTGGAAGCACCTATGGCAGCGCCCGACTGGTAATGAAAGACGCATACAACTTTCCGGCCGGCTCAAGCATCTATTTTCGCTACTGGCTCCGTTCGCAATACCCCGCATCAGGAACGCTGGAAGTGAAGAAAGTAATTGGTACGATGGAAGAGCCAGATATTCTCTATTCCCTCACACAGGAGTCCGGACCGACCGTTGATTTCTGGAAAGAGGTCAACGTCACAATCCCTACTGACACCGAACAATTTAAGGTACGTCTGTCCAGAATGTTTACACTGTTTGTTAACCCTCGCCCGACGAGGGGGGTTGATGCACCCCCCTAAGGTTTTTCGCGAATAACGTAAAAACGGCAGCGCGTAGCGCCGCCAAATTTGGCATACCCTCTGGGGCAACATTTTCGCACCTTTCCTGAAAATTTGAAGTCCCAGTCTTTTCAGGTCAGGTCACCAGTTCAGCAAAACCGGTACAAGGTCAGGGGAAATTGGACTAGCTTAGCGGCAACTGAATTCCAGAGTTCACTAAAATTGGTAACAAAGTATATCATTCGATGCGCACGGACGTCCTGAGTTCACTGGTGCTTTTATTTTTGCTCTATCTTCACTAGGTAAAAAGTTATAAGCGAAAAACTTTTAACATGTTTCAGAAATTTTTTTGCACTCATACCCCCAACTCTCCCTAAATATTGACTTGGAGTCACCAAACTTTCACAGGGGCGAGATCTCCTATGGACCCACCTACCCTGTAAATTTGGCGTTTGTAATTGCCATAGGAGCCAATCGCGAGGAGGGTCGTACCACCCCCCCCCCCTCGCCGTCCGTGTTATGGAAAAGGCCCTCGCCTGGCGAGGGTTAACCCGCGCAGCCTGAGGGGGAAGGGCGAAGCGGCCTCCGTATCATTTTCCGTCGATATCTTCCAATGTTTTGCAGATATTGTCACCAAACTTTTGGCACTCCTTCAGGCATTCATTTTACAATTTATTGGCCAAAATCTTTTGAGAGGCTGTAGTAGGTTGATCAAAAATGACGTCAGAGTGACGTCATGTTCTGCCATTTTATAACAAAAAAGGTTATGCGACAAGAGCTGTCACGTCTAAAAATTTAACCCACGTCCTGCTGGGGGGGGGGGGGATGGGAGCTTTTTCAACACACCCCTCCCCTCCCCTGCGGTTTTCGCAAATACCGTAAACGGGGGTGACTTTGCCTTGCGGGGTGAATTTGCCATGCTTCTCAAAAAAATGCTTTAGGGAGATCTCCAGTGATATTTTACAAAGAATGTAATAATTTTTATGCACAAATGAAAGATAATTGATGGGCCTTCCAATATAACCAACAATGAGAGATAAGTTACCACTAAATACCTAACTGGGCTCCATTTTATTGGAGTCATTGAAATGGTCAAATTTGAAGAGGTCCGAACTTTCTGTCATCTAACAATGTTCTAGACCAACTGCGATGCTGAAACATGGTATGGTTGATCATGACAAGGCTGTTAAGTTGGCATATCCAACAAAACTGGCATTTGTCACTTCATTTAGCCGAAATTTTTGGAAGCGATTTTTCCAAGTGAATTGCAGGCCACATGGGGTGACTTTGCCACCATGTTATCAATGCAAAAATGAAATACTTATGCGATGCAATTCAAAATTTTTTTTTAATGTAGCATCTTTTTGATCTCCAAACTGGTTACGAGCGAGCGAGCGCAGCGAGCGAAGCGAAGTCTTTTCATAACGGAAAAATTTCAGTATGAGCGGGCCCACGTACATGGTATCGTGATTTCATGCACTTCTTGCAAAGTCCAATGCTTTTCTTTTGCATTGGTAACCTTGCGTGACGTCATTTATGACGTCACTAGGGTCGAACGAGTTTTTCGTCAATAACTCCCGATCAAATAGAGCTAGAGAGTCGGGAAAGCCACCAATGGACTCGGGAAGACCTTCCGAATCGAATGATATGCCATATGATACCCTTTACCCAGCTTCGTGACCTGAGAGGCTCTGACCTGACCTTGATCCGAGGTCAACTACTTAAGTTGACCTCACCCTAGCAAAAAAAAAAATACCATTCGATGCACCTGAGCTAGGCAAACACAATGATGCCAAAATCGCTGCTCTGCGGCCATTTTTTGCGAAGTTGTTTACTAAAAACCGAACCCGTAATATCAGTCACTTGACCTGACCTCAGACGCTACCGGTTAAATTGAGACCTTAAAATCGGGTACCAATCGTTGCGACTTGTTGCGGCACACACGCTCGTTTTTTCCGCGAGGCTCTAGCTCTATTAGAAGCGAAACGGCGTGCTGGGGTCGTATCAACCCCTCCGAAACCCATTTTGTTTGCGGGAAAATGAGGATTTTATCTATAGAAAGAACACCTTTTTAATTTTTTGCATGTCGATTTGCAATGACATGAAGTTTATTTTGAAAAAAAAATAAAAATTTGAAAAATTTTGGTCCCAAAGGTCATTGGAGGCAAATGAAAAAAGAATAAGGTTTATGCTCAACAATAAAAATTTTTCTTTGGAATTTTTAAATGGTAATATTAATTTTTTATTCATCGCAAGCTTAGTGTTGTTTACTGTTTGTTGGTAGCTTAACCCGCGCCCTGCTGGGGGTCCTGGATTTCCACGCCCTGCTGGGGGGGGTGTTTGAACACCCCCCTTGTAACTCGGCTCCTGGGCCACGTAGCGATACGCGGAAGGCGGCGTTCGAAAGAGCGTAAAAAATAATGACGAAATCACTTCGGTCAATTTTTTGGTCAGGTCAAAGGTCAGGTCACCAGAGGTCATTGAAGGCAAAATTTCGCCGATTTCCAGGTCGAATGTCGAAAATTTCCAAGAAGCCAACGCATAACTCGGGAACCAATAGAGCTACAGCGCCGCGGAAAAGCGCATTCGATAGCCCTATTAACACCCTTTCTGAGTAATTCTCTCAGATTTGACCTAACGCCAACGGTTTTGTCTGCAGGGGGCAAAAACTGCAAAAATAGCCGATTTTTTCGAAAACAGTTTTTCTGCAATAACTTCTGACCCAAGCCTTGTACGAGCTTACTTTTACCGGCATCGTGTTCCTCTCGTCAAGACGCATCGAATGAACTATGATTTGACCTTGAAAGGTCAACTTGAAAATTTGACCTCAGGTCAAGGTCATGACCTGACCGGAAAGGGTCATGTTGCATATCAGTCGATCCGTATCGTCGAGCTGAACACATCTAAGGCGTTTTCATCGCTCTAGCATGCCTCTATCAAAAGTTATTTGCGAAAAACTGTTAGATACTATTCGTGACCTAAGATGACCTCAGGGCATAAAAAAGGGCCACGGACATCATTTCAAGTTCAGTGTGTCTATACCACTTGTAATTCGGTGTTTGGGCGTGTTTATAATGTCTTTCATCCACAAGAGGCGCATTTCAATTTTATCCCATTGACTTATAATGGGGAGGTCGCAAAATTGACCTGACCTTAGGTCATCGATATCAAAATTCTGAGATATACATTTTGTACATGCTATTGCTCTTAGCAATCGCTGAAAGTTTCAAAGCGATCGGTCACTCGGTGTAGCTATGACAGACATTGAAAGTTTTTATGAGGTGAGGTCACTTCAAGTGACCTGGTGACCTGACCTTGAATGACCTTGGTCTGAAATTTTCACAACATGTGTAGAATTGATGTATGATAAGGTGTACCAAAAACGGCGGCGCTCCGCGCCGCCGTTTTTGAGATATTCGCGAAAAACCACAAGGGGGGGTGTTCAAACACCCCCCCCAGCAGGGCGCGGGTTAAAGGGACTATCCCACCTTCTAAAATGTTGTTAAAACCAGTTAAATTGTGCCCGACTTTATAGATTGGATGACCAGGAACACGGTTCTGGCATTTATTTTTCATTAAACATCTTAGGCTTCCCATATTCCAAACACAAACTTTCGAATATGTGAGGTCACAGCCCAAAATTACCTCCTTCCCCAGGCCACATTACTGTCATAAAGCTGATTCTTTTTACTCTGTAGGCACCACAACAAAGTTCAGACCAAGTTTTGAGCGATTTTTCAACGAACAAACCCATTTAAATCAGAATTACTAAACGAGGTGACGTCACACTAACGGTCGCTCCATGTTGAAGATAGGGCCTTGTACAAGGCCCATTTTCAAATGAAGGGAACGAATTTCTTCAACACCAAGAGGCCGCGGGGGTTGCAACCTAGATAGATAGTGGTTTCTGAACCTCGCCGCAAACTTGGCTATCTCAACTCAAACCCCATGTTAAAAGTGGGATAGTCCCTTTAACCCGTTTTTGAGTTATAGGCCATCAAACTCACCGTTACAAACCGAAGTTAAAAAAATGTAATGCAATATAACTCAAAAAGTTTTGATCTGAGAAGTCTGATATTTTGCCAGGCGTCTTTGGAGCCTATGATTACCTCTAGGACGGATTTTCATTAAAATCTGAGAGATGAGGGTGACGGGCCTGGTACGATCTATCGTGGAATGCCCCAACTAGCCCTATGTAAACGCGGCTTTTGTCATGTCCATATGTGTCACATAAGCGGATTGCTTTTTCCAGATCATGCTTTTCGCTGCATGCTCCACGGGTCCAAAGGACAACATCGCTATTGACGACGTATCCGTGTACGGCCCCACCGAGTTGAGCCAAACGTGCGGCGTTACAACAACAACAACAACAACACCGGAGCCGACCACAACTGAGCCGACCACAACTGAGCCGACTACAACACCGGAGCCGACCACGACTGAATTGACCACAACACCGGAACCGACCACAACACCGGAGCCGACAACACCGGAGCCGACAACACCGGAGCCGACCACAACTGAGCCGACCACAACGACTGAGCCGACCACAACTGAGCCGACCACAACACCGGAGCCGACCACGACTGAATTGACCACAACACCGGAGCCGACAACACCGGAGCCGACCACAACTGAGCCGACAACAACACCGGAGCCAACCACGACTGAGCCGACCACAACGACTGAGCCAAGTTCAACTGAACCGACCACAGCTGAACCGACCACAATGGAACCAACCACAACTGAATCGACCACAATGGAACCAACCACAACTGAATCGACCACAAAGGAGCCAACCACAACGCAATCAACAATGCCATCCACGCCCGGAACATCGACAACAGAGCTGTCGAGCTCAACGGAGCCGGGTAGCACGCCTTCGGGGCCCACGGACGCACCCACGGGCGCCCCCACGGACGCCCCCACGGACGCCCCCACGGGCGCCCCAGAGCCGACGGCCGGGCCGGGCCGCGGCGACGACCGCCGGTACGGCTCCAGCGCGCTCCTCTGGGTGGTGTTTGTGGTGCTGGGCGCCTCCACGGCGCTGGCGCTGGTGCTGGCATTGGTGCGGCAGCGGCAGCGGCGGGACGAACGGCTGGTGCTGGTGCAGCACCAGGACCGCGGCAGCACCAGCAGTAGCGACACCAGCGGCTGGTACGACTACATCTCCAAAGACAGGTGGAGGCACGCGAAGACACGTCTGGCGGACCTGATGAAAGGTTTGAAGTGATCCGATGGAGAGTCTGACATGACCTGACATGACCTTCGTGCGCATTGCGCAGTGCACTGGGTGCGTAGTGCACAGTGCACAACAGAAACACGCATTGATCGTACGCTTAATTTCACGGCCGGACAGCGTCAGCGTTCAAACATAATCCCTGCCTGCTCGGAGATGTTTTGTGGTCATATGGTCATAAAGGTAAACGACACGGAGGGACTAAGGAACATATGTAAGTGTGCATTGTATTGTATGTGTTGACATCAAAAGCCTTCCACATATGGCGTGTAGCTATAGGATCGGCCACCACCTACATTGTCCATGTAACTAAATAGTCATAATTGTGATGGGTAAGGACAATGTGGTAGTGTAAGGACAAGTGGTGAATGTGACAGTGCTGATGCTTCGATATTGTGTGTACGATGCTCCTTTGATATTCTATGTTTGTGCGCGGAAGTGAAATGACAGGGAACTGCTATGTGAACTGCTAATGCAAGTGGCTTGAAAGCGGCAATATTGCTTCCAGTAGCAGAATGTGTTGTGTTTTACCTTTAGTTCGATTGTCTAGCGGCAGTACGTACCTACAGTACCAGTAGGTATCTTGCGGCTATTATGCGCTTAAGTCCTTTACCGAATCAACTCAGCTCATTGAAGCTTGTCTTGTAAAAAACGACTGGTTATTACATGCATTTTATTGTTTAGTTAGCCTTTGCTTAGTTCGCCCCACCCTCTACAGTTTTTTGCCCCTTTTTTGCTTGTAGATCCAGTCTACTGCATCATCTAGGTATCCAGGCTCTACCAATGTCAGTTTCATTTGTTTCAGGCGTCTTAGCCCCTAGGTTCTTGCGATGCCAGCTCCATTTGTTTCATGCGTTTCGATGCAGACGATTTAAGTGAATTCGGCCGTGAGATTTTGAGTGAACAGCTTGTTGGTTATTCCTTCCGATCCATGCGCTTTTATGCCGTTCAAAATAAAGTCTTTTGGAAGCCGATTACGGAACAAGGGTTTTTAGTGCAACGTCCTTGCATATAGGTACAGGTTTCGCGGGTTTTAGCGGCAGGTTTTGCACCTATGAAATTTAGTATACTTCAGGCTATATATTGGTCAATGGTCGTCTTAAACTTTTGAGTGTTGAAGATGCGATAGACTTGCTCGTTCACAAGCCTGCCATGATGGCTTCATCGTAGATCTAGTTTTTTTAGATATAACCGCAAATGTAAAAGGGTAAAACCTACCGCAATCTCGCGAGAGCCGCACCTATATGTGAATGATCTGAATGTTATTACAGGCGTTAATTGTTGATAGAGAGTAAGGTGGCTTGATGGTTTCGGCTTCGGTTTTACCTATAGAGAAAAATGTGAGCGAGTTTTCCACATGAGCCGCTTTAGATTGTAGCAAATGAGCGAGCTGAAGTAAAGCCTTGTCATGGCCGATTTTCGATATGTATCGTCACAGCAAACATTGATTTGATCGCAGGAGGGCTGCCAATACACAATGCACATTAAAAAGCACATACGTATTCTCAACGTTTCATAGGTCTACAAACACACTTTGAACGCACTCATTCGAAAACACGCTAACATAGAACGACGACGACGCGCTAGCGAATAAAAATCGCACAGTTTGTGTTTAGTTCATCTGTCCCGGCATTGGCTTCCACCTTCCCGTATAGAGGTGGTCCGGGGTCCCAGTCAAATCAAGTGAAGTTTGATGGCGGGTATGACCCTGGGGGAGCGTGTGCGCGCCTGTCGCCGCCGACAGCGGGCGGCCTGGCGTCGCCAGCGGCCGGCCAGTGTCAGCAGCAAGCACGAGTCCAGCACGCTGTAGATGAACGTCACCAGCGCGTGGTTCAGGAAGATGCGCGGCTGCGGCGCCAGCTGACCGATGTTGCCGGGCACCAGCAGCGTGCTGGTCACCACCAGCACCAGGCAGTGCTGCGCCCAGCCGTGCGCCGACACAAAGTTGCGCGGCCGCGCTGTGTCCGGCAGGCCGCTGCTGGCGCGCAGCAGCCACGCGCACGCCGCGAACGTGGTGCAGTTGATGGCGCTGTTGACGGCGAACAGCACCAGCACGGGCGGCCGGTGGCGCGGCAGCGGCCGGCCCGCGCACCAGAAGAACACGGTCGGCTGCAGGCCGAGCGCCGGCAGCGCCGAGAAGGTGACCAGCAGCGCGGCCATCAGCAGCCGGTTCTGCCAGCGCAGCCGGCGCTGGGTCAGCAGCGGCGCCAGCGCCGGCCAGCGGGTGGCCACCACCACCTGCTGCAGCCGGCTCAGGCTGATGACGCAGTTGGCGGCCGACACCAGGCCCACGCCGTCCACGATCACCAGGCTGTAGAGCCAGCAGGCGGCGGTGCGCAGCGCGGTCGGCGTCCCCTGCAGGAGTGGGCGCCGCTCACCAGCAGCAGACAGCCGTTGTAGAGTGGTGCTGTCACGCAGGTGAGCAGCGCGCGAGCCAGCAGCGTCTCGTCGACGGCAGAGAGGGGTCGGCCGGCGGCCCGCAGAGCGCGCACCAGCCGCACCGGGGGCACAGCCGCGGCCGCGGCCAGCAGCAGGAACCCCAGCTGGTACTCGGCGCCCAGCGACGCGCCCAGGTCCACCGTCTCCTCCCCCGTCACCGTCTCCGGCGTCGTCTCCGTCACCGTCTCCAGCATCATATCCGTCACCGTCTCCTCCATCGTCGCATCCTTCATCGTCCCCGGTGCCGGACTCGAGGTGAAGTTAGTCATAATGCAACACGGTGTGAGACTGTCCGCAGCGCTTTACCTTTACCGAGTATTGTCGACCGTTTTGCTGACTGATGATTTCATAGCACTGCCGATGGTTTGTGTCAGTCAGCCGTGCAGGATAATGACACTGACTAAACTGATTCATGACTGAAGTCTGAGCTGATTGATGACTGAACTCACTGCCGTTGAACTGATTGCTAACTTGTTGACTGACTCCAAACTCATCACTTTACTATTGACTCCTGCCCATCCGGCTGACTTCTAAACTTTGCTGATCATGCTGACTGTTGTTTGCCTTGTCTGTGTTAGGTCGAAAGGCAGCGTCTCCATTTGTGATGTATTAGGTCGGGTATCACAACAGCAGCAGCAGCAGCACGCGTGTCGAGCCCCAGGTCCAGAATGACCGCCGCCCCCGGCTGCGGCCGTGACCCCGCGCCGCCGGTGGCAGCGGCGCGCCCAGCGGGAGGCGGTCCGCAGTGGCGCGCCCAGCAGCGCGCCGAGAGGTGGCACCGGGCACTAACACATCCTAACACACCTCCCCCTAAATAAAATGTCTCTTATTCTCTACACTGTAAAGCACCGCGATGAAACGGCTGCTTCGACCACCGGCAAGGCCGCGATCAGCTGCAGCCGTGGCATCAGCTGCTCGGTCTGCGGCGTTGCAGTCGGTGACGTCTGCTCTCGCGACGTTCGTGCTGGTGACGTCCGCTCTGGTGACGTCTGCGCCGGCGACATCTGGTACTGGTGACGTCTGCGCCGGCGACATCTGGTGCTGGTGACGTCTGCGCCGGCGACGGCGTCGAAAATCGAGCGCCGCATCTGCACCTCAGCGCTGGGACGCCAACTCACGCTTCACCCCCTCGAGGTTCAGGCCTGCCGATGACACGTTAGCTCAGAACATGTCGCACACTTTGGTCACACACAACCGAACAAGTCTGACGTGTGTATGTTTATGAATATTACTACGGCAAATTGCACAGAGATGCTGAAGGATTGACAATGACATTAAATGTAATCACTCACAAGCGTATTCACAGGTCGGGGTACCTTACCGGAGGCCGGGATACCCTCCCGTATCGTGTGACATATGGACTCGAAGTTTGTCCTGGTTGTTGTGCGCTGGCTGTCTCGTCAGGTATCCACGCGAAGGTCGGAAACGAGCTGTCCGCTTCTAACACCATGCTCGGTTCTTTGCTCTCAGTTTGCTTGTTTTGGTCGGACTGCCCCCTGCTGGCGCTTCGGATCGCCGGAGGAGCATCTGGGACGTGCGTCTCTCTCGCTTTTAAAGGCTTCAGGTGGTTGTGGTGTACGTTTGTCTCTTTTCCTCCAGGCATTCTGATCCTGTAAGTGACACCTTCTTCAACGGTACCCTGTTTTTGCACCACCGTCGCTGGACCTTTGTAGTACAGCGCCAGCTTCTGCTGGCCTCCAACGTTGGCAGTATGGTCTCTAACCCACACTTTTTGACCTGGAAGGTATGAAATCTCTCGTGATGACTCGCTCCGTGCTTCTGTCATATCGGAAGCGGCCTCATTGATATTTTCACGTACCTTTGCGTAGGCAACCCTGAGTTGACGAAGCTTGTTGTCGACATAGGTATCGACCATTGACAGGTAGCGGCGTGCACCGAACAGCTCGTCGACTGGCAATCGAGCTTCGCGTCCATGTACCAAGAAAAACGGTGTGAACCCTGTTACCGAGTGTTTGGACGTGTTGTAAGCAAATGTCAGAGATGCCAAGTGATCGTCCCAGTCTGATCCAAGTGGCTTGATGAATTTTGAGGTCATGTCTTTGAGCGTGCGGTTAAATCGCTCTACCATGCCATCGCTCTCCGGCCGGTACGGTGATGTCCGAGTCTTTTCTATGCCAAGGCGCTTGCAAAGGGACTGAAAGACTGCAGACTCAAACTGCCGCCCTTGATCGCTGTGGAGTCGTTCTGGCACTCCTTGTCTCAGTACCATGTCGAGGAGACACTCGGACACGGTCTCAGCGGTCTGATTCGGCATGGCATAGGTGAAGACGTATTTGGTAAAGTAGTCCATTGCTACCAGAGCGTACCTGTTTCCACGCGCAGACATGGGCATTCCAGTGATATCGATGGCCACCCTTTCGAATGGCCTCGAGTAGCTGTCTGTTCGCAGCGCAGCCTGCATCTTTGGTGTCGGGCGACCTCGGCGCTGGCAGACCTCGCAGGATTCGCAGTAGTGCGAGACGTCTTTCGACATTCCCGGCCAGAAGAACCTCGCTTCTACTTTTTCGAGCGTTCGAGCGGTTCCCAAGTGCCCAGCGGTCTCATCATCATGCAGCATTTTCAATACAACGTCGCGGTACGTTCGAGGGAGGAGTAACACCGGTTCCTTTCCCTCGACACAACGCTGTAGCTTCACGACACCCTGCTCCATTGTCAGATGGTCGAACAACCGAGCCATCGTGCGCAGATTCTTGTTTCTTTTTCTCAAGTCCTTCCTTGGAGGGAAGTGACCTGCTTTTAGCCACTTTTGGACCTCACCGACGACCGGATCGAGCTCTTGCTCACGCCGTAAGCTTTCGACGTCTATCCCGCTCGTGGCTTCGTCACGGGTCGTGGCCATGAGTTCGTTGACTTCCTCCTCCTTCTGGTCGACTACTGGCCTGGACAGGGTATCAGCATTTCCATTATCACTGCCCTTTCGGTACAGCACATTAAAGTCATACGTACTCAGCTCGACAGCCCATCTTCCCCGTCGTCCTGTGGCATCCCCGTCGACATTAATCGAGCAGGGGATATTCTTCAGCGGCTTGTGATCGGTCAGCACCGTGAACGATGTTGCGGCCAGGTACTGCCGGAAGTGTCTGATGGCCCAAACTATCGCCCACAGTTCTTTGTCGTAAGTGGGCCATCGGCGTTCACTCTTGCTTAGTACCTTGCTCGCATAAGCCACCACCTTCTCCTCACCGTCGACCGTTTCAGTCAAAACCGCTCCGACTGCGGAATTCGATGCGTCGGTTGCGAGTTTAAATTCTCCTTTGCATGTCGGCAAAGCCAGAATCGGGGAAGATGTCAGTTTGTCTTTGATGCTTTCGAAGCTTTCGGTTAGCTCCTGGGTCCATTCAATGTCGCCTTTTTTCTCTGCGGCTTCTCTAATGGGTCTCACGAGGTCAGAGTAGTTGGGGACAAATCGGGAGTAATATCCCGCAAGTCCCAGGAAACTTTTCAGATCGTCGGCCTTCTGTGGTTGCGGCCAGTTACGCACCTTGTCGACGTTTCCCGGGTCGGGTTGCACGCCAGCCTTTCCCACCTTGTGTCCAAGGAACACCACCTCATCTCGTGCGAGGCAACATTTTCGGGGTTTTAGTTTCATCTTCGCTGCTCTGATCCTTTCAAAAACTTCCTCCAGGTTCTTCAGATGAGCCTGTTCTGTCTCTCCGAAGACGATGATGTCGTCTATGTAAACGAGACAGCTCTTGGAGTCCACTCCAGCCAAAACCAGCTCCATTAGTCGCTGGAACGTGGCTCCAGCGTTCTTGAGGCCGAAGGGCATGGCTCGGAACTGATGCAGGCCTTTTCCTGTGCTGAAGGCCGTTTTCTCGCGGTCCTCCTCAGCCAGTTCTACCTGCCAGTACCCTGATGCCATGTCGAGTGTGGAGAAAATCTTTGCTCCTGCGAGACTGTCGAGACTTTCGTCGATGCGTGGGAGTGGAACCGGCAAGCTCTGAGTTACTTACTGCGTTCACTGCTCTGAGGTCGACGCAGAATCTGAAGCTGCCGTCTTTTTTCTTGGCCAAAACAATTGGTGAACGCCAGGGACTCGAACTTTCCTCGATTACTCCTTCTTTGAGCATCTTTTCTTTCTGCCGTTCGACTTCCTCCCGGAGTTTCATCGGAATCCTGCGGAGATTCTGGCGTACTGGCGCTGCATCGCCAGTTTCGATACGGTGCTGGAGCACCGTTGTCTTCCCGATATCTGCGTCGTTTTTGCTAAAGATGTCACTGTACCGCGTCACCAGACGTTTCAATGAGGCTTTTCCACCCTCAGACAGGACTGTGGCGTCGATGTGGAGGTTGGAGATGAGTTCATCGAGCGTCCCAGCGCAGGGCTCCGCTGAGGCGGTAGCGGCGCTGGGCACGTCGTACACACCTTCTCCATTTTCCTCGATTGTGAACAGAGTGCCGATCTCAGTGCCAGGTGGGATCGTGACCGCCTGTGTTCCGACGTTGGTTATTTGGACGGGAATCGTCGCCTCTTCAGACACTGACCCGATGATACGGGGAATCCTCCATTCCTGATTGTTTCCCACAGGTAAGGGCTCCATCACCCCCTGCCAGGTGGTCTCACGAGTAATCTTTACGCCACCGTTTGGTATTTCGACCATCATCGGAGCGAGCCGTTTTGATCTGGCGGGTACCGTGATCGCAGTGCATGTAACCACTCGGGATCGATGTGGTCGCAGCTCTGCGTACGTAGGGAGAGGAATCTCCAGGTCACCGATCCTGAAAACTCCCGATCTGTCGTCCAGAATCGTTTTGTGCTGGCAGCAGAAATCTCTTCCCAGCACCACCTGGTAGATTAAACCGGGGATCACCATCATGGTTTGGATGAACTGTCTTGTCTGGACCTGGAACGTGACCTCGGCTTGACTGCTAACAGTTATCTTCTCTCCACCTGCCTGTGTGATGGCTCCAAAAGCCCCTTTACGGAATAAAGTTTTGTGGATCGCTGTCTGGGCGAAATCCTGGCTTATCATGGACGCATCGGCGCCTGAGTCGACAAGGGCCCACATCCCTCTTCCTTCGACCTCGATTTTGACTACCGATGCTCGTTTAGGGCTGCTTAGCTCTTTCTCCTCTCTGACTGATGCCCGCCCAGCAGCACCAGTCAACGGTCGTTTCCCTGATGCGTACTCTGCTGTGTTGTGGCTGAAGGCTGGATTCCCGTGGCGTCATTTTGTTTCCAACAGTCGGCAGCCCAGTGTCCTTGTTTCCCACAATTCAGGCATGTTACCCCGAACCTATTGCGTGGGGTGCTCGAATTACCGACGCCACCCGCTGCTACCGGCGTTCTCCAGCATGCAGATATCAAGTGGCCATGCCGTCCGCAGCCCAGACAGCAAACACCTGGCGAGATCGCTCTTGGTGTTGTCCCTGGCTGCATGCGTCGCTTCACCAGCTGCGGACAGTCGCGCTTGAAGTGGGCGGTATCGCCGCACTGGTAACAAGCGCCCTGTCGGCTGCTGTTTGACGGTTGGTCTCTGATCATCTGAGTCTTTAGCCCGCTCAGCTCGCTCTGAAGCTCTCCTATCATGGTCAGGATTTCTGTTATCTGGTCACCCTCCGTATGCTGGTTTTCTCTGGTAGAAACGATCGCTGCTGCGTCGTGTCCATAAGACGACCGCATAGCAGTCAGAGTGAGGTCCTTCTCTAACAGTTTTTGAGCGACCTCCTCTGCTTTTTGGAGAGTTGACGCCGTATCGTCGTTATGTAGCTTCTCCTGGAGCTTTAGATCGGTCAGGCCGCACAGAAAATGCTCCAGTGCTATTTGTTCAAGGTCCTTGCTGGACAGTCCCGGGTTTGCAGTGTGTGTGAGCTTACGGATGCGATTGGCGAACGCTTCCGTCTTTTCATCGGGCAGCTGACGCACCTGACGCAGCTCTGCGTGTGCCCTACGTGTATCGACGCTGACTCCAAATTTCTTCTGTAGCTCTCCTTTCAGCTTCTCGTAGTTGTTTCTATCATCCCTGTCTAATTTCCCGCAAACGTCCAGCGCAGCGCCATCCAACAAGTCAAGCAAGGCAGCTGCTAGTTTTGTCTCGTCCAAGTCACCAAAACGTGTCTCAAAACGGGAAATCCACGTTTCCCAGTTCTCCTCCTTGCGACCGCTAAATTTTGTTGTGTTGTGAATTCTCATGTATAGTTCGCTCGCCATTTTGGGCAGTGTACGGTCGATGGCCGTTAATTGATATGATCGTATCGTCCAACGATACGGGATGAAATAGCAAAACGTGCTAGTTTGAAAATCGTGTCGTACAACGACCACGCTATGAGGCTATGAGCTGCGAGCGCCCCCAGCGCCTCAATACGATTTAATATAAACTTTAATCGACCTGAAATTAACAAAGCTGTGTCGATAACGACTACAGCCTCTCCAATTTCAGGTCAATATCTAAAAGCACCTGTATCGAAAATCGACACCATCAGTGCTGTAAAAAGAAGCACATGAGCAAAACCTCTTTTATGATAGTGGGAGCGTAAATTTGCTTACCTTGACCGCGCCAATGTTAGGTCGAAAGGCAGCGTCTCCATTTGTGATGTATTAGGTCGGGTATCACAACAGCAGCAGCAGCAGCACGCGTGTCGAGCCCCAGGTCCAGAATGACCGCCGCCCCCGGCTGCGGCCGTGACCCCGCGCCGCCGGTGGCAGCGGCGCGCCCAGCGGGAGGCGGTCCGCAGTGGCGCGCCCAGCAGCGCGCCGAGAGGTGGCACCGGGCACTAACACATCCTAACATCTGTAACCTTTCTGATAGATGAACAAGGTCATGCTCGCTGATTTCACTTGTAATTGTTGTTCTTATCTTCTGACAGCTGAATCCCGGCCTGCTGAAAGCTGACTACTTCCTCTGCTGCGCCTTCGTGCACATTTTCACTGTCTTACTGGCAGTGCTGCCAATCCCGTCCACTGGCAGTGTCGTCCATGCTGCGGTCACCCCCCCCCCCCCCACTGACCGGACCAGCAGCAGCAGCACCTAGCGCGAGCCCCGAGTCCCGCGGCCGTGAGTCGCCGCGGTCAGCGGCCGACTGACCACACCAGCAGGAGTAGCCCCTCCCCCTACTGATGCACCTATAGCACGGGTCCCGCGGCCGTGAGTCACTGCGGTCAGCCGCCGACTGACTGGTCGGACCAGCACAGCAGTAGCGAGTGTCGAGCCCGGAGGCCGTGCGTTATAGACCGGTCGCCGTGGAGACGACGGCGGTATCCGAAACGGAGCCGGTCTTATATGCCGAAAGAAGCTGCACCGTTTCTCATCCGAATTGTTATCTAACGGCAAAGTTTGCGCTTATCGCTGATCACAAGCTCACCATTAATTTGACGTTTATTCTTCCTAACTTTCAATGCAAATAATTCGCAATACAGGCCGTGAATGTTTTTTACCTTTGGACTAATAACACTGTCATGATTATGAAACGAAATATATTACCTAAGTCTTTAAAGATTATATATTTCAAAGACAGCGATCCATAAAACAACCGCTCCTATTGTGGAACTCTGACCCACAGAAATGCGATGACCTGTGCGTTGGTTGCCCGTGAGCCAACGAACAAATAAAGCAATAAGGTAAGCGATAAAGCAAGTTAGTTGAGTCAAACTGAGAAATAGGATATTTTTCATTTTTAGTATTTCATTTTCAAATTAATGCTCTCGAGGCCGACGTTCACTACAGTTTTAGGCCGTTGTAAGGGCATAGAAATATGTCACTGATTCGGACGTTGCCAAGAAGGTACCCTTTCATTATCAATATTCAAGTTTCAGCTACTGACGTATCTTGCAATCTCGAGTTGGCTATTCTGCCCGTCCCCAATGATCGAGGTTAGACACTTGACCGGTCCGGATTAGTTTCCGAACACAAATAGCAACTGCTTGACACGACTTAACTGACAAGTGGGCGGTCAACAGGAGTCTTTCTCTGCGGGAGACCGGAGCCTCTCTATCTAGAAGCGATTATCGGAAAATTGAGCCTATGCCGGCGCCCGTCGACCACTGGGCAGTTTCGGGTGTGTGGTGTTGCACGGACGGTGGCGCGCGGAGTTGCAAAGATTCAGAAGCAGTCAGGAAAACCGGACCGGACGAGTGATGGTCGAGTGCGCCGTCAGCGGAGTAGAGGGAGACGTTTTGTGGATGGACTGGGGCTTCTAGGACAGAGGCGTGTACTGGGGTTAAAGGATCGCTGGTGGACCGCTCCAGTACACTCAGAGGCTCCTGGAGGAGACAGGCACCTGTGTCCAGGCACGGACGAAGGTCAGGTGTCGGGTAGAAGTGGGAGGTAGTGAGCGGCGGCAAGCCAGATGGTCTATCTGAAGAGAACTGATCCAGCCGACACGACGCCATAGTAACTGCTGGAAGTCCAGGCCGTGAGGCCGCTGCCGGGGGTCGAGGGTGACACGCGCCGTCGACATGTGGTCCGTCCGAGGCCGGGCCCTGCTGCTGCTGCTGCTGATGATGCTGTCTCTGTCGGGGTTGGTGATGAGCTCCATCCAGTCCGGAGAATACTGCGAAGACTTTGAACATGGATGGGGAACATTTTGGAAGCCAATGAGCAACAGCTCAGGGACTTGGTCAAGCGAATGGCAACCTATGAATTATGAAGAGATAAGCGACAAGAAAAACATTCCTCCTCCACCGAATGGCAAGGAAATTTTATACCTTCATCCGAATGACCAAGGGACTTTCATGGGCGCAGATATGATCACGAACGACGCGTACATTTTTCCGGAAGGCTCGACTTTGTCTTTCAATTATTTGGCTTATTCTGCGCCATACGATGGGCCTGGGCAAATTGCTATAAAGCTACGCATTACAGGCAAGAATGACACATCACTGGACACATTGCCCACGAGGGAGGGACCTGCCTCCTGGAGGACTTTTAGCATAGATATTCCGGCAACTGAGGAGCTGTCGCAGGTGAGGCTGCTGGTCTCTGAGCAGCTAGAGCGCCTGATTACTTACACACTGTGAATTGCAGTAGTTGCTTGTCACTGTGTGCGTACATGCGTGTGTGCATTGTGCGTGTGAGCGTGTGTGCGTGCGTCCGTGTGTTGTACGTGTTTGCTTGTAGTAACGAGGTAGCGCGAAACACAAAGTCCTGCGTGCGGGATTTTATGGTAAAATTGAGCGATGAGCTCCTTCGGAGAGGTCAGGACACATCTGCTTATATCTAATAACGCTAGCGTTACAGACCAAAACCAGTATCCACAGACTTGGACTGCGAGCTTACCTTGACAATGGCCGATCCAGAAATGCGGTCTAGACGCTGCTGGGCAATGGGCATGCTTCCCCCCAAAAATATAAATTTTGAAAATTCCCGGACTTCGAATCTCGTCCACTGTTGTGCAGTTTCAAGCAAGCTTTTCTTTAAAAAGTTGTCAAGTTTTCTTTCTATCCCAAAATTCCAGAACATTTTTTTCTATAGAGCTGTTGGCGCCTGACTGGCTGAATGACGAGTGCGTTGGCCGGGTCATCAGCAGGCTGGAGGATCTGTATGACAGTTCGCAGCACTGATTTGGTCCCGGTTGACTGCTGGTTTTATCCGCAGCGTTGTCCATAGCGAGATGATGTGCCCCAGTCCCGACCACGATGCAGCAGCCTGTCAAAGGCATAGCAGTTGAAGATCTACCATTGAGCTCTGACACACGCGGCATTAGCATCCGCCCTGGCCCGATGCAGGTTAAGGGAAAATTATGATTGTGAGCGGTCGGCCGTGATTGCGCCTTTGAGACGTTTTGCGATTGATACGCTTGAGCAAAGGCAACTTCATGTTATCTATTATTTGAATTAACCGGTATTGTTTCGATTTTCAGATTCTGATACATGGCGAGAATTATCCCAATGCAACGTCGTATGCTATGGCCCTCGACGATATCCAGGTGTGCGGCCCAGAGACCATCCAACCGAGTCATTACTGCAAAAACATCGCACCGTGCGACCCGAACATCACTACAACCGCAATGACGACTACAACCACCGAGCCTACGACGACTACCACTGAGCTAACTACAACCACTGAGCTAACTACAACCACGGAGCTAACTACGACCACTGATCTAACTACGACCACCAGTGAGCCAACTACCACCACCATTGAGCCGACTACGACTACCACCGAGCTTACCACGACCACCACAGAACTAACTACGACCTCAACAACGGAGGCAACCACAACTACGGAGCCAATCACTACCACAGAGCCAACTACTTCTGCCGAGCCTTCTAGCACCAGCCCGCGGCCGCCTCCACCGCCGCCGCCGCTGCCGCCGACCGCACCGGCGGCGCCGAGTGGCCTGCTGTGGGGTGTCGGCGCCGTGCTGACCACCAGTGTCGCCCTGCTGCTGCTGCTGTCCCTCCTCAGGAGCCCGCGCGTGGCCGCCGCCCGGCGCCGCCGCCCCTGGCTGCGCACCGCCAGCAACGACTACAGCGTGTTCACCGCGAACAGCAGCGGCAGCGCGAGTATCGAGAGCGCCAGCAGCGCCAGTAGCGGCTGGTACGACTACCTGGTCGGCGACCCGTGGCGAAAACTGGCCACGCGCTTTGGGTGGCTGCGCAGCATGTGACTCGTCCCCGCACCGGGTGGTGATCCCTGTGGCGCCGCCCGGGCGAAGTTACCTAGACTCTGGTTGGACTCTGCGGTAGGTAGGAAGGAGTTGAAAGTGACAATGGGTTCAAAGCTCAGCGCTGTCGCGGCCCTGCGGGTGACACCGGCTAGGACGATTGAATGCTTCGAACGACGCGCGTCAGTGTACCTGGAAAACTATGTGTCTGCCTCATTAGGTATACCATTTTTTTTAATATTACCCAACATTGTCATGAGTGCATGTGCTTTCCTAATCGCTGCTTACGTTATGTATGATCTATGCAAGAAGTTGAAACTACATCTAAAATAGGTCACATTTCGGTTTAAAGTCAGCGTTAATTAAGGGCAAGGCTTGATTACTTGGCTGCTGCCCAACGCCAGCCGCAATTGCTTTCTTAAGGACGTATATGTGAACATAGGTCATAGGTGCTGTTCACCATTCACTGTTCATGCCAGTGGAATATTGTCGGCCTCTTGTGCAAACTGACATGCTTAGGGATGTCTTAAAGACACTACTATCTAAGGGAAAGATTATTGTTTGTTGAAACCACGTCATTCCCATGCGTAAGATATGGTTAGATATAAGAGCTATGAGGAATGATTGTATGAAGCACCGATAGAGAAAGGCAGCATATACTTGTCATTACTTCGAAACGTATTGAATCTCAGTGTGTCGTGCTATGCTATTAACTAGTTAGTTATTTGCACGTTGATTAGTACAGTTCAAGATGCGTTTTGTTAGATTGTTAGTGCAGTTAAATTGTTTAGTACAGTTGGATGCGCGGCTAATTCAATTGGTGACTGGAAGTGCTGTGAATGATGTTGAACAGAAATAAAAGCTGTTTTTACTCGTATCAATAATGATCATGCTATCATCCATGGTTTGATTACACGTAAATATATTATTTCCATTTCTGTGATTAAATCATGACAAAAAGATATCCATGAAGCGCGTTGCCATCTTATATAAAGCATCTAGTACGCACATCACTAGAATGCTCCTCGGTGAATTGGTATCTGAGTTGCGCAGACACGGGTGATGTCCTTGGGCATTCCGCAGATGGATTATGTAACGCTTATCAAAAACGATGGACAAGCAGGCGGCCCGAACAGTTCTGTCTATGTATGCACATTGCACATAGAGTGCGACCATTTCACAGAGACAGGCCGAATATCGTTTCCTTCTCTCCTGTATCCGCCACATACCTCCAGTGGTGGCATGAATGTGGCGATGCAGTACGTTTTAATGTAATATACGCAGTATCACGTGACAAATGGATTATGGAAGGTGATTGGAGGCGTCAGTGGTGCCGCTGTAGGCGTGAGAATCGCTAGATCGTCGGTTAGACCCTCAACCCTCAACATTCAGAAAGTGAGCCGTCATCAGTGTTTAGCGGATGTCAGTGCTTTCTCTGTGATTGAAGGCTGAAGCACTGGCCCTGCGCGTAAGATACGAGTCACATCACTCGTATCGGTCACATTGATATCACCTTCATATGCATATGCAATCGTTTGATTTACACCACTTTATACACGTTTGATTTATAGAAATTGTGCTATCCGTTTCTGGAAGGGTATTGTCGTACTTATCATGTTTAATGCTCATTGTTCCTAAAGGGACATATCAACTTTATTATACAACAACCGAACTAGCGAATTCCGGAGCACGTACAAGTGTGTTATAAGCAGATACCTCGCCACCACACCCGCGTGTGACCAGTGTGGTGTGATATTAGTCCTCTCCTGTCCGTCGGCCGTAATCGGAGCTCCTTCCCCACTCCAGTGTAGCTGGTGTGAAGTGACGCCCGGCCTGCCATCTGTTGTAAAGAATAAACCGCCTTCAGTGACCCTTGCACAAATGTCATTGAAGGCGGTTTATTCTTTACAACAGATGGCAGGCCGGGCGTCACTTCACACCAACTACACTGGAGTGGGGAAGGAGCTCCGATTACGGCCGACGGACAGGAGAGGACTAATATACTAATATCACACCACACTGGTCACACGCGGGTGTGGTGGCGCCTGATTGATAGGTAGGTACTTGCGAAAAATGCGGTTTTCAACACAAGCTAATTCATACGAGATTCTAAGCAACGTTCTACCGCGCTAACTACATCGGTTATTGCGTTCACTAAACAATGGCCTTAAGTACGAACAAAACAATGTCTTACAACATTTCCTTCGAACAAAGTGCCTATAATATAAATTGTATATCAGCCTATCGCCATATTTACAAACATACTGATAGTATAGAACATATTAAAGCCGCTTAAAGCTGATGCCGAATCAGTTTGACAGCGAAATCCCGGAAATAGAACATCACCTTTGCGTCACCAGTGCAAACCTAAGATAAATTCCGCAAAATACGCTAGAATGCATCTATAGGATGTGTCACATTTCATCGCATATTCATCGGAAATGTTTTGATAATAGAACAGCAAGCTAATATAAGCAGCATCAAACCTACCATATTTGCAGTCACAACAATTACACATCGTGGGACACTTGCCTGGATACCCAAGACAAGTAAGTTGATAGAAGAAAGCATGCAATCGTAAAGCAGTTTACACTTGATAAAAATACAAAAACACAGCATATATTTCAAGACGACCAGCGTCACAGTTTCGAAGGCAGTTACACGAACCAGCTGGTCCTGTTACCCAGACCAGTTGTTGACACCAGCCGTTACAATTACTTATCTAGTATCTACAGTATCTACAGAGCAGTCACGATGTCTACCGTCCGTCCCAGTCTAGTACCGCAGCTGTGCCATCTTATCATGAGCCTGCCTCCACGGATCGCTGTGGAGATAGTCGAACCATCCGGAGCTGCCGGAGCCGGAGCTGCCGGAACCGGAGCTGCTCGGCTGCCGCACCAAGGGCAGCCGGTCGGAGCGCGCGCTGTTGCGCCGCCGACCGAGCGCCAGCAGCAGCAGCAGCGCCACAGAGGCGGCCAGCACGGCCAGCACGGCCCACAGCAGGCCGGACGGGCCCAGCCGCGACCCGTCGGCCGGCGCCGGCGCCGTGGGAGGCGCAGCCGTCGGCGGGCGACCGGTGGGTGACCGGCTAGTTGAGACTGTGGGGCCCGATGTCGGTGTTGTGACGGGTTCAGCCGACGTCGGTCCCTCTGGCGAGGTGGGCCGATCTGATGCTGTCGGGTCTGTTCCGGGGCTGCCTGCGGTGGTCGCCGCGGTCGGTCCGCCGCTGGGCGTCGACTCCGACTGGGCCGTGGTCTGGACACTGCTGGGCTCCGTCGTGGCCGTCGTGGTGGACGCCTCGGTCGATGTTGTCGTCAGGGGGATGCACTTCTGGTCCAGTCCGGCCGGACCACACACCTTGATGTCGTCTATGGCGATATTGTTCAGTTCTCCCGTTCCACATGCACCGAAAATCAGGAGCTGAAAAAGCATCGCTAAGAATGTTACGTTCAGCTCGAGTCAAATAACATAAAGAGGGAAAGGGCAGGATTCATGTGGAAAAAAACTGAGCCTGAGATCACTTAAATTATTCCAAATCTTAGCCAAAAAAGGCGCTAGAACAGGTTTTCTGTCTATTGCATGCCTGCTCAGCTACTGCTGCAGCGCGAGCAATGATTACCTTCACATGTGTAGGGGGGGGGGGGGGGTCGGCTGGAACCCCCTCCAAGCTTTTTCGCGAAAAACTCGCGTAAAAAGCGGCCGATCGCAACGCAACTTTCATTACCATCGAGTTGATCACTTTTACACCTACTCTGAAAATTTCATGACCCTGCCCCAAAGGACCTTTGACCTGTGTGTGACCTGATTCTCGAGACCATGTTCGGCCGGAATCGTGGTTTTGCGTATGTCAGCTCACATTATCCGCGCGTTTCCAGTCTTTTTGTGATTGTAAACGTCCAAACATGTTAAATGATGCTCGTCCCATGCATCACGGTGGGTGTCAAGGTCACCTGAGGGTCAAATCAGGTCATTGACCTTTGATGACCTCGGTTCACTTTTTCGAGTTTTACATGTTTCTAGGGTAGTTTTTCGGGCTGATTTCGAATTTAGCATCCATTTGAACATTTACGAAGTAGTTTTGGTGCCTTCATAACATGTTACGAAGCTGTCAGAGGCGGTTGACACGTACTACGAATACCCGTCACGACCCCTACTGGTTGACCTGACCTGACCTTACCCAACCTGGTCTAAATGCTTAAAGACATCATCTGTGATCAAAACTAACACGATATTCGTGATCAGCACCCCGAAAAAAAACCTTCGAAGCCACACTTTAAGACTTTCTAACAGGTCCCGATTTTCCCGACTTTTGGGTCACTGACCTGACCTGGAAGGTCAACCACTGACCTAGGACCTTAAAATTGGGTATCATCGGCTCTCTCTCGTCACGGGCAGCACGCTCGTTTTTTCCGCGAAGCTCTAGCTCGATCAGGGGCCAAACGGCAAGGGGGTCCAACCGACCCCCCCCCCTACACATTAAAAGCTGGCAAATTCCGCACACATGCGACGGTTAAAAAAATAAGTCGAAGGGTCTATGTAGCTGGTTAAATGTGACATCTTTTTTATTGTGATATTATATAACCTCAATTCAATGAAAAAAAGGAAGTACGTGGGAGAGGCAAATTGGATTAAAGTAAAATTCATGACACTTCATGTTTTTATTGTGAATTGCGACGGCTCGCAGTTGGCATAGGTATTTGATATGGTGAAAGGAAACAACATTTTTTCATGTTAGAAAAGGTGAGTTTCATGAAACAAGTATCTAACATTTTATAGCGTAGGATATGTTGTGAATTTTCAATAAAAGCTTTTCATAAGTGAGGCCGTCACTTTTATGCGTCATTTATTTATTCGAATCCTGCTTTTAAATATGAGGCTTAATATCAGCAGTCTAGCTCAATGTAATGGCCAAGAAGCGGAAGCGGGATAATGGAATGCGTGTCCCGACATTAGCCCTTTTTGTGACAGAATATTGGGCACCTATTTGATTGAATTTGAAAGCAAAGAAGCATCCTAATCTTCATTTCATTCGAAAGGAGGAAACCCTGCTAGTAAAAAGCAAGCAAATTCTTTCAGACACCGAAGGGATCGAATAGATCAAATAGGTGCCCAATGTTCCGTCGTGAAAACGGACAATATGAAACCGCACGCAGTACCCGTTCCCGGCCACATGAAGATCGAGCCGCTCACCTTGAACGTGCTGGAGCTGGTGGGCACAGTGACGTTGGCCTCCATCCACTGGGTGTTGTCCGGTCCGGAGAACTCGGTGAGCGACAGGATCGGCTCGGCCTCCTCCTGGGAGCCGAGCACGCGGTGCACCTCCAGCGTGCCCGAGCCGCGCCACTGCGAGCGCAGCCAGTACCGGAACGACAGCGTCGAGCCCTCCGGAAACAGGTAGCCGGCCGTCATCTGCAGACGCGCGCTCATGTAGCCGCCGGCCAGCGGCGTCAGGTAGACGACCGTGTCGCCGCTGGCAGGGGCCGGGAAGTCGGCGATGGTCTGCTGCAGCTCCTGGTAGCTGGCCGGCTGCCACTTGCCGCCGCTGTCCAGCGCGCCCTGCGTCCAGAACGTGCCGAAGTCGTCGCTCTCGAAGTCGTCACAGTACTCGCCGGCCATACAGGTGACAACCACCACCATCAGCAACAGCAGCTTCAGCGGATGAGGAATGGTGCTGCCGACGGCGGCCATAACAGCCATCCGTGTGTGAGTGTGTCTGGGTGTGAGGGCGAGTTAGCCGGTCGGTCCAGCCGCGCGCCCGCCGGGAAGGGGACAGAACCTTGGGTGGGCCCGCTCGGGAGCACGTTCTCCGCTCTACTGACCAGTGTCCACACAGAGCACCGCCAAAGCGGGAGAGGCCGCCGCGTTTCGATTAGACAATCTCCGTGGGACGCCGCATTCCGCCCACAAGTGCCATTACTCGCAGGGGCGTGGGCTCGGCGGAGCTTTAGCGTTAAAAGCAGCTCTAAAGAGGCGATAAGATAAAACATTGACCATTGAAGATGCATTTTCCTGACGTGGATATGAGCCGGATTAAATGCATACAGCGACAGCTTAACCTCTTCGATTGAGTGAAGTTTGCGATTAAACCATTTGTTATTCAACCCAGGCAAGTGAGCAAAGTAAATGACCTAAAATACTGTATGGATCACAAAGGTTATTGCGTCCGAGACCGTTAACACTTCGTCCCTATGTAATGCACGTATATGCGGCACTACAGTGCACTACCAGCTGATATTGTTTGTTATGGATCTCTAACTGCGGGCCATTTTGTCGATGGGTTTTCAAATAGCCTGTCGTTGTTCGCTTGATAAATAAAATGCATTCATTAACCCTATTAGTGGCAGGGGGGGGGCTGTTTACGACCCCCCCCCCCCCCCCACTGATATCTCGAGATCTAACGGGCCGATTTTCAAAATTCAAACGGCATTCGATTGCGCTTGCGCTCAACGTGATCTACATTTCTAAAAAATAAAAATTAAGAAATGTCAATAGGGGGGTAGAGGGGGGTAAAAACGGGCAAATTGCAGATACATTTTAGACTGTTTATCACGGCCAGGTTTCTGAACCAATCTTAACGCAACTTTTGCCGATCGATAGAGAATGAACCAGGAATTCACATGGATCCTAAAAGTATGCATTTTCAAAAATCATAGGTGGATACAGATCATTGAGATTGGGGGTACACAAAAAGTATAGTAAATAAGGTTTTTGCTGGTACCTACTGTTTCTAAAAAGGGTGGTAATCGTCTTGTTATGTTACAATTTTGTTATGAGAGAACGACTACAATTGTATTGGTCATGCATAGGCGGTGTCAGGGCACCTATGTTGGGAGGTAAAACATACCCCCCCCCCTTTTGGACGCCTGGATCCGCCTATCATAGCAAAAACGTGTCAAAAGAGGATGCACAATAACTTTGTATATGTTATCACATGATACCTTTCATTCACTGTTCGTAAAACTAGTGCATACAGTTATAATACATCAGCATCGTGATCTTCGCCCAAATGACTCGCTTCACGAAAAGGACCCCCCAATTCCCAGTGCTCTGGAGCCGCCCCTGGTAAAGTTATGAACTTGAAATTTTCAGGGAATGTGCCCAATTTAGTTTAAGGAAAAGTCAGAAAATTTCAGCATCGTAGCTTCAGCGGTTTCGGAGATATTCCCGAAAAACCTGAGGGGTGGATGAAAACAACCCCCCCTGCCACTAATAGGGTTAAGGCAGCATTGTGTAACTCCATCTTGAATTTCATCCGTTTGAGCCAACATTTGTGTTCAGTTGTAGAGTGTACAACAGGCCCCATGCACAGTGATGCAAATGGGGTTCACGAGTGGCCATAAATACAAAAAAGTCAAGGTTACCAAACCGAGTAAATCGCGATATGGCCAACCAAAGAAATGTTTGGCGCATCTGAAATCACATAGCTTTCATGTTTTGTCAAAACCGGCCTCGTGTATGATTGTCAGAAGTCGTGACATTTTCTATGTCGTAAAAGGACTGTCAGGTACTTGCAAGCTCAAACGCCGCTAGCTTGCGTTCATTTCACACAAACTGCAAAAATTATCCATGACAATGATCCCTAAAGCCTGCTGCTTCTATTGCCGGGTAAAAAGCCGTATCTCTTTTGGTTTGGCGGTGATCTAATCATCTGTCATCATGTTGCAATCGCAGTTCTTACTTCAAATTATCTCCTTTCGTTTCACCTACAGCAGTTTACACAGTGTGTGCCTGTTAGTCTACTATGCCTGAGCCTTCCCCAATCATTTCTGAGCCACACCGTGAAAGAATTAAGGCGCCAGCACAGGGCAGACCGGCGCTATTGAAGTTTTTGTCCGGCACGGTCGGGTGCCGCGGTGGGCGGCGGGTGGGCGGATTGCTTTCACCGCGGATTGCAATTTTGACAGACGTTTGACTTTGACCTGCTATAAGAAGGTCGAATAATGACCTTAATCAAAAGTTATTTGCTCACTCGCGAGATCTTGTCAAGAGCAATTCGTTGGTTTTTGTCGCGAGGCGCTAGGGCGCTTCGTTTAGGAACAGCAGAGGGATTCACCGACGAACCCCGCCGCGCTGTGGCCGCCCACCCGCGCGGCGGCGTGGCCGCTCGGGCCACCCACCGCGCCGTGGCACCCGACCGCAACGGACGAAGCGCCGGTCAGCCATGTGCTAGCGCCTTATTTCTTCCACAGTGCGGCTCAGAAATGATTGGGGAAGGCTACGACATAGTGGACTAACGGGCACACACTGTGTGAATTGCTGTAGGTGAAACGAAAGCAAATATTTTTTTTAGTAAAAACTGCGATTGCAACATGATGACAAATAGTTAGATTAACGCCAAACCAAAAGAGATGCGGCTTTTTGTGACCAGGCATTAGAAGCAGCAGGATTTGATGATCATTGCCATGCATAATTTTTGTCATTTGTATGAAATGAACGCACGCTAGCGGCGTTTGAACTTGCGAGTATCTGACAGTCATTTTACGACACACATAGAAAATGTCACGACTTCTGACAATCATACACGAGGCCGGTTTTTGACAAAAACATGAAAATTATGTTTTTCAGACACCCCAAACATTTGCCTTACTGGCCATATTACGATTTATTCGATTAGGTGAACTTGAAATTCGGGCCTTTTTGGTATTTATGGCCACTCGTAAACCCCACTTGCATCACTGTGCCATGTGGTATTCGAGCCGCGTGCGGAAGACGGAGCTGCGTCACCTTGATGTATATTCAGCTGTGACGAGGAACCTGCGACCCCCGGTTTTCTTTCAGGCGTGAAGCGGGTCACCGGCAGGGTGGATTAGCTGGTGCTTTCGTAATTCGTGTGCAGTGCACCCCTTATTTAACATTTTCCAAAAGTTCAGGACGAAAATCCAATTAAACGCATGTTGCAGCAACTATTTACGCTTCATTTCGCTGACAACAGTCCCTTCTTTATTTCCATTCATCTCCGCACTCACTCCCAGCTGTTCACACCACCGATAACCATTGTGGAACACTTCAGACGGCAAATGAACCCATTCAGCCAGACGTCGCCGTGCATCACAGCCGTCATTGTGCTGGGAAGAGGGCGTCCTATCGCTGGCTACCGGGGCAGGATAGGATGACGATCCGTCATCGGAGAGCCACAGAGCGCCGCTGTCCCTCTTTGATGGTTACTGGCACCATTTTTAGCTGCTTCTAATCCCTGTGGACGACCTCCCTCGCCGGCCGGGGGGGGGGGGCGGGTGCCGCCCCCCCCCCATAGGGTTTTTTCGCGATAGCTCCGAACACGCTGGCGATAGAGAGCTGAAACTTGGCATACCTGACCTCTGATCCAAGCCGCATCTTTTGACACCAACCGCATTTTTGGGTCAGGTCAGGTCACTGACCTATGACGTCATAAGTGAACCTCTGCACGGTCTTCAGATGTCGCAACTTCGCAACGCCCTCACTGCCAGAGGAGATGTCACAGGGAAATGAAACTTGCAGGATCTAGTATCCATTATGAGTCTCACAACTTGTATATCTCGGATTTTTCCTAAAGGTCATATGAGGTCAGGTCATTTTCGTGACCTCACCATTATAAGTCAATGGGGAAAAATTCAAACTGCTATTCTGGCGCCGGGAACGATCTCCAACTATCTCAAGCACACAGAATCGTGATTTGATGCACTCCTTGCAAGGTTAGATGCGTCACTTTTGCAATGTTGACCTTCCGTGACGTCATTTATGACGTCATCAAGGTCATATTAGTTTTTCGTCAATAACTCCCGATCAAATTGAGCTAGCGAGTCGAGAAAGCCACCAATGGACTCAGGAAGACCTGCCGAATCGAATGATATGCGACATGACCTCTTTCGACCAACTTCGTGACCTGGGGGTGCTGACCTGACCTTGACCTGAGGTCAACACCCCAATTTGATCTGACCCGAACAAAAAGTATATCATTCGACGCGCCTGAGCGAGGCGAACACGATGCTGCCAAAATCGCGGCTCTGCGGCCGTTTTTTGCGAAGTTATTCACCAAAAACTGAACCTTACCCTGGGGCACTTGACCTGACCTCAGAGGTCACCGGTTGACCTAGGACCTTAAAATCGGGTACCAATCTCTGCGTCTCGTAACGGCGCACACGCTCGTTTTTTCCGCGACGCGCTAGCTCCACCAGGGGCGAAACGGCGAGGGGGGGTCGTACCCGCCCCCCCCCCCCCCCCCCCTCGGCCGGCGCGTATGTAGAAAACCAATAGGTCCGGCGAGGGTTAGCCGGGGCGGCGGCTTTTAGCGCAAGGAAAGATCTGTTCACGACATGACGTATACCGGACCTTTGGTCAATGGCCCACTCCTACGCGCACGAAGCGCGCTATCAAACACATTTGTGACGACCTGTCGAGTGAGGCTCTGTGATAGCGCGCCGCACAAACAAACAAAAAATCATGTTTTTTTCTCTTATTGGCCTTTGATGCGACTACTGAGCTTGGGTAAGTGAAAGAAGATGCTGTGGAACGTATGACCTGCGCTGCACTGCAACAATGGACATCAATATCGTTATTGACTTCTGTCGTAATAAAATATATTGAATCACCTCATTTGAAACTATTTGGCGTTATATGTCGTTAGTGTTGTTATGGTGACGAATTTGATCGATTACAGATGATTAATAAAATTATCCTTGTCCCAATCCTCCATCTAAGCGTCGATAGCA